GAATTAGGAAGAAAAGAGGCAAAGGGGAAGGGGAAGTGGGAGGGGTACAGGAAAGGAAAGAAGGGAATGGAATTAATATGAGAAAATGAAAAAAAGGAAACAAAGTCTTTGTAAATAGGGAGGGATGGAGGGGTGGAAGGGAGGGCAGGGGAAGGGGCAAAAAATAAGAACCAGGAGAGGTTGTGTAAAGGTGCAAATTTCCAATGATGAATGTCATTATATTGTATACCTAAAATGCACCAATAAAATAAATTTTTTTAAAAAACTCTGCTGCAGTCCACCACCCTCCATGAAAAACAACAAGTACTCTATAAACATTGATGAAGAAATCAAGTGATGGTCAATGTCTATAATAACGTGTACAAATATACAACCAGGATAATTAATCCAACACTTTAAAGGAAGCATTGTATATATATTTATAACAACAAACATTTTTTATACAGAAGCAAATTACTTGAAAAACTAAAGTAACTTTTTTACCTCTATAATGGCATCAAAAATATTAGTTCTCCAAGCAAGGCCAACTTTTCCAATAAGAGGAAGGTGTTCTCTGCTATTTCTAAAATGTATCACAGTAAGCTTCACATATCCATCTTCAATGCATTCTGAAAGGATTTAAGGTAGTTTTAATTACTATATTCCAATGCAGGACAGCAAATCAAGAATTTTTAGGCTGGCCACTCTACAAAGGATACCTCATACTGCTAAGTTCTACATTCAACAGAGGACATCAGCACAGATTGTCCTGAGGCCAGAACAATGTATCTTTGCCCCAGAGACAGAAAAATGAATGTGTAATCTGGGAAAGGGACACCAAAGGCTAGTCAGGAAAAGATGGCTGGGGTGAGCCTGGGTACATACCATTACTAATGCAAAGTTTGTAAGAAGACTTTTCTCACTTGATACATTAGCCTGCTTCTCAGTACTGTATCAAATACCTGAAGTGATCAACATAGAAAGTCCATGGGTGCTTGACCCCATTACTTTTGGGTCTATGGTGAGATAGCATATCATGGCAGGGAGCATGTAGTAGATCAAGCTGCTTACCACAAGGCAGCTGGGAAACAGACAGTATTGTTTCACAATCCCCTTTAAGGACATGCCTCCAATAACCTGAAGATCTTTCACTAAGCCCTATCTCTTAAAGGTTTCTACCATCTTCCAATAGTGCCAAACTGAGGGCCAAGGCTTTAACACAGAGGCCCTAGGAACATTCCAGATCCAAACTATAGCATTTGGTCAAACTATAGCACATTGGTCAACAATGGAAATAGAAAACTAGAAATACAGAGCTTAAGAAATGAGATGTCGAGATGGCATATAAAGTAAATAAATGAGAGGGATCCATAATAGCACTGCTCCCAAAAGGAGAGAATGGAGAGCAAGTAAGCCGAAGCAAATAAGGGAAGGAGCTGCTTCAGTACATAAAATACACATCTTTATGCATACTAATAAATGAGTAAAGGTCTTCACACATGCTTACCGAAGCATGAGGCCAAGCCTTCCCTTTCTCTAACTTGCTCAAAGCTGGATATCACCAACATTACTACCACTGATGGGCCTTCACCACCAAGCAACACATATGTTCTGCTTTCCAAAGCCTCTTGTGATGGGGGAGAACCTGCAGCACTCCCCAGTCCCCATGTAATGCACATGAAAAGTGATTGTGAAACATAATAATAAAATTAAATCTTCACTTACATGCAAAGTTTCTTCACAGTCAGACTTTTGAATAGAGGTAAGATGCACAATACAGAGCAAAGTAGATGAGAAAAACTCAGAACAAATGTTCTGTATTCCTAGGTTTGGTTATTTCACAGGAGCTAAAGCCTTGTTTCAGAAATACTGTACAGTATTCTCCAATTTGTGTACCCAAAAGGTTAAAACTGATGCTTCCCCAGGGTCTTCCACTGTGACACAATAATGTGCTCTAAGTGAGAAATTCCACCAAAGGTAGGCACTCTGAGCCCTGCAGGAGCTACTCAGCCTAGATGGCCATGCTGTCAGCTTCTCAGAGTCTTACTTTTGTCCCAAGGATGGAGGCAGTACACATTTTCTTTTGGGCTGTTGAGTAATTAACAAGAACTGTGAAGTCCATTTTCCCTAGGTGTAGGAATGAATGCCAAATGATACTGTTCTTTCCCAGGCAGTTGTACTGTCACCTCAGCAGGGCTGGACAGAAGCAGCGACAAAGTCTGAAATATAAGCCCTCACTGGAGATAGAGTAATGACATTATGAATGGACCAGATGTGACTCTGCTCTGCTACGTACTACAGCACTGCCATGTGCAAAATCCAGAGAGACCTTCAGTGGCTCAACAAAGGTGAACCTAGGGACTGATATCTGGCAGTGTAGAACAGAAAACTGGGGATCCATTTTCCATGTGGCTCATCCTCAGGACACTGTGGAAAATGGATCCCAAATACAACAGCCAATAACATCTCAATAGCAATTGTCTGAGCTGATAAACATGATATTCTTATAGGAGGCAAAGCCTGTTGTTATTTTGTTATTACCATATATTATGCCATTTCAGAAAAATTATAAAGCTGCAATGCCTTAATAGATCTGACTCTTTCAGCAGGCTGTTGGTACCTATTTACATCTGTAAGACAGAAAAGGTTCAGCTCTGTTCACATTTAAATGATCTGCAATCATGTTGATAAAGTGTGTATATACATGTGACAATCCACAGTACTTACTGTACATCTGCCATAAGCTTAAGCACATTATATATAGTAGCTTAAAAGAATACTTTACAAGATTTTAAAATCATGGTAGTAATTAAGTTTTATAGTTTTCTGAATTCATAGGTGAGAAAACAGAAAGGTTAATAGTGACTTGCCCAACATCCTACCAAATGGCAAAAGCATGATTCAATACCTGTTTTGTGTCAAGAGTCTGCTATAAAAGATTAAAACACACATAAAAGGGGGCAATATACCCATTAGTTTATACAGAGGAAGATCAAAATATATGGTGTATATTTAAATGTTTTTAATTTATTGCAGTAAAAGATACATTGCCATTAATCCCCCTCCAAATACTTACTTCAACACACTTATCCCATGATTCTTGCCACTTTCTGAAGCAGTTCTGAAAGTCCTCTTTTGTGAGTGTCTCCACAATGTATAATCAAAAATACAGTGAACGCTACTACTGAGTACCATTCAACAGACAGCTTCTTAAAATATTAGTGTGTCCTCATCTATCTTATTCACTGGACCTGGCATCATGTGACTTCTGGTTCTTCCCCAAAATAAAAATGATAATGAAAAGTAAATATTTTCAATCAATTCAGGACAACACGGCAGCCATGACAGTGCAATTAAAGACACAGAAATGGACTTCCAGAACTGATCCAGAAAGTGGCAAGAACAGGATGAGTGTGTGCAAAGAGAGGGGGAGTATTTTAAGGAGGATTAATGGCAATGTGTCTTTTAATGTAATAATTTTTTCAACATTCATCCTATTTTTCTACCACACTTTCATACTACCTAAGAACTCACAATGTTTATTCAAATTCTGAGGAAGCTTTGCTTTCATGTTATTGCTAGTAGAGAACCTACCAACAAATTAGCAAACAAGGTGTACTGGGGAATCATTTATGGCTCCCAAAGCTTTTGGCAATTTCTCAATCAGTGAGTCCCATGATCCCTAGCTCTCATTCCCAATCCTCCTTCTAACCAATGCCGTAAGTGACCTGGATTCCTTCGATGAGACATACATGTGCCTGCAACCTCGAGCCAGAAGTCAGCAGGGAGCAGGAAAAACCATCTGATAAATGCAATGCAGAGAAGCTTCATGCAATGGAGCAGACAAGGACAGAGTCCTGGTGTACACTATTGGTGTTACAATGATGACATTTTCAAGAGAGAAGCCACACAGGGAAGATTACTCATAAAAAAAAAATGGAGAATCTGGTCTCCTGGGAATATTCTAAGCCAGTTTATCTATTACTACAGTCCTGTGCTCCTTAAACCAGTCAGAATAAATTCTGTTGTTGGAGATTCTAATCTTAACCTTCCAGTACATAACATTATACTGGTTTAAATATGAAATGTCCCCCAAAGACTAATAATGTTGAGGGCTCAATCCCAATACAGCAATATTCAGAAGTGGGGCCTAGAGAGATGACTGGATCATAAGGTTGCCACTGAATTGATCCATTGATGAATTCATAGTTGAATAAGCTACTAGGAGGTGGGGCCCAGTTGGGGAAAGTAGGTCACTGGGGGGATTCCTTTGAAGGGTATATACCTTGTCCCCAGCTCCTTCCTCTCTGGCTCTTTCCCTTTTTTCTCTCTGCTTCTCCAGCTGCCATGAAGTGAGCAGCTCTATCCACCCATGTTTTCTCCACTATGATGTTCAACTGCACCTCAGACACAGAAGCAATGGAGCCAGCTGACCATGGGTAGGAACTTCTGAAACTGTGAGCCAAAACAAACCTTTCCTCCTATAAGTTGTTTATATCAGATTTTTTGTCACACTGACAGCTGACTAACAAAAAGACTATCGTCAAAATATGGTAAAATATAATTTGAAGTTCATCATCTTAGCTTCCAGCATCAATGCACATACGAGCATCAACCCTAGAATCATAAAGACCCCATTCCAAACCCTGCTCACCCATTTACTACCCATGTAACCATGTTCAAGTTTTGAGCTGAGTACAATAAGAATACAAACAGAAAGGACCTTCTAAGACTTTGTGAGGACTAACTGAATTAATTGTTAATTTTAGCATTACAGGATAGCTTACGGTATTTTTCAGGCTAAACATGCCGATGTACCTTATGTGCATTATTTCAATGATAATATGCTAAAAAGCCAAGGCCACTGTCGTAGAAAATAGAGAAAGATCACAATGATGTACTGTATTAAAAGACTCTATCATTAAGATGTCCATTTACCCAAATCTATCTATAAATTTAGTACAATCACAATCGTATTTGCAGAAGGCATTTTAATAGCTCATAATTAAAAATTGTAAGTAAATAAAAATGGACAAAATTAATCTACAATTCATGTAGAAATAAAGACAAGACCTAACATAATGCAAACAATTTTGAAAAGAAAAAAGTTGACCTCAATACTTACTATAGAGCTACAGCAATCAAGAAAATGTGCTTATAAAGTTACATCAGCAGAACAGATGAGTATACAAATAGATTCACGCTTTTTACATGCAATCGATTTTTGACAGACATCAAAATAATCCAACCAGAAAACAGTCTTTTCACAAATGATGCAAAAACAACTGAATAACATAGGGGGAAAACTTTTCCACCCTTCCATTGTACTCTATACAAAATTAATTAAGAATGGGTCACAGATCTAATAGTAAAAGTTAGCTGGGGATTTAGCTCAGTGGTTCCGCCACCTGATTTGCAACCACAAGATCCCAAGTTTGATCCCCGGTACTAAAAAAAAAAAAAATTCTATAAAAGTTAAAGCCATACCCATGTATTCTTAACTGGCTTTGTCTCCTCCAGACCCAAAGCTATACGGCTACCAAGATGACAATGCCTGGCGCCTAACGAGGGCCTTTAGGTAGACCCTCTATAGAGTAACTCTGACTGCTGATCACAACTATGACCCTCT